GTGTGCGTGCGCCGGTGGCGCGCCAGGCACGAGCTGCCGCCGAAGGCGCGGCCGCAGTCCGGGCAGGCGTAGGGCTTCTCGCCCGTGTGCACGCGCAGGTGCTGTGCGTAGTTGGAGCTCTGGGCGAAGCGGCGGCCGCACTCCGTGCACGCGTATGGCTTCTCCCCGGTGTGGCGCCGCCTGTGCTGCTGCAGGTTCGAGGCGGCTGAGAAGCACTTGTCGCACTCTGGGCACTGGTAGGGCCGCTCGCCAGTGTGTGTGCGGCTGTGTTTGGTCAGCGCCGACTTCTGCGAGAAGCGCTGGCCGCACTCCGTGCATTTGAAGGGCCGCTCGCCAGTGTGTGTGCGGCCGTGTTTGGTCAGCGCCGACTTCTGCGAGAAGCCCCGGCCGCACTCGGGGCATTCGAAGGGCCGCTCACCCGTGTGCGTGCGCGAATGCTTGGCTAGCGTGGACCTGCGCGCAAAAGCACGACCGCAGTCTGGGCACGCATGTGGGCGCGCCGGGTCTGCAGATGGCGCTGTCGCCTTGCTCAGGACCTGCGTGGAGAGGGAGGACTGATGAGTCCTGACCCATAGGCCCAGCAGCAAGAGACCTGGGTCTCCACAAGCAGCCCACTCTCAGTTACCCATATGGAAAACAGGACAGCAAGGGTGCCTGCCTCCTAGCCCTGCTGTGGGCATTAAATTAGATACTGCATTAAAGCTAGCTGCTCTTTATTCAACAAATATTTGTCAAGGGCGTGCAATGTGCCAGGCTGTGTTCTAGACAGTGGGAAATTCAGTACTAGATTTTTAAAATTCGTGCTTTCGGGAAGAATGGATGAGGAGTGCTGGTTTTGGGGAGGCGGGTGCTGCAAATTTAAATAAGGTTAACAAACCACTGATGTAACATAAGCAAAGAACTAAAGGAGGCGAGGAAAAAGGTACAGAGCGCACAGCAAGACCCCAAGGCAGGAGTTTTCCCAGGTAAGACCCAGGAATGGAAAGAAAAATTTCCTAAGGCAGAATGCACGAAGGAGGGAATAATAAATTGGGTGGTCCTGGAGGGGATCTCTTAGCTTAGGGCCTTCTAATATGAATGAGATAGGGAACCATTAGAGATGTTAGACTGTATTGAGCAGGGACATGACCAGATCAGACTCATTTTAAAAGCATCCATCAGGTTGCTGGGGTTGTAGGAGGCTAGAGGGCAGACGCAGGAGCCCAGAGAGGAGGCTGCTGTACAGCAGTCATCTGGCAAGAGAACACAGTGGCTGAGACCCAGGAGACAGGTGAAAAATGAAGGTGGTGAGAAGGGGTCTGCTTCTGAATATATTTTTGCCATTTAAGACCACCAATTTGATAAATAAAATTAGATACGAGATGTAAAGAAAAGAGGAGTCGCCCAGCCAATATGGCTCAGCACTTGAGCACAGCCCTATGATCTAGGAGACCTCAGGTCGATTCCTGGTCAGGGCAGGTGCCCAGGTTTCAGGCTAGATCCCCAGCACCGGGGAGGAGGCAGCAGATCAATGACTCATCATTGATATTCCTCTCTCTCTCCCTTTCTTCTGAAATCAATAAAAATATATTAAAAAAGAAAAAAGAGCTCTCCCGCCACCATTTTAAATCCAGCTCCATACAACACTCCGCCGCCGCTTCGGGGACTCGAAGTGCGCGCCAGGACCTGCCAGCCACCCTCCGCCACCGTGGAGGCCCTGAGTGAGAAGAGCAACACAGAGGCATTCGCAGAGGGATGCAAGATCAACGCGAGCAAGAATCAGCAGGGTGACTGTAAAACGTTTATTGGACGCTTGAGCTGGGATACAAGCAAGAAGGATTGGACTGAATATTTGTCTCGATTTGGGGAAGTTGTAGACTGCACAATTAAAACAGATCCAGTTACCGGAAGATGAAGAGGATTTGGATTTGTGCTTTTCAAAGATGCTGCTAGTGTTGATAAGGTTTTGGAACTGAAGGAACACAAACCGGATGGCAAATTGATAGACCCTAAAAGGGCCAAAGCTTTACAAGGGGAGGAACCTCCAAAAAGGTTTTTGTGGGTGGACTGAGCCCAGATACTTCTGAAGAACAAATTAAAGAATATTTTGGAGCCTTTGGAGAGACTGAAAATATTGAACTTCCCATAAATACAAAAGCAAATGAAAGAAGAGGTTTTTATCACATATACAGATGAGGAGCCAGTAAAGAAATTGTTAGAAAGCAGATATCATCAAATTGGTTCTGGGAAGTGTGAAATCAAAGTTACCCAACCCAAAGAGGTATATAGGCAGCAACAGCAACAACAAAAGGGAGAAAGAGGTGCTGCAGCTGGTGGAAGAGGTGGTACTAGGGGTCGTAGCCGAGGTCAGGGCCAAAACTGGAACCAAGGACTTAATAACTATTATGATCAAGGATATGGAAATTACAGTAGTGCCTACAGTGGTGATCAAAACTACAGTGGCTATGGCGGCTATGATTATACTGGGTATAACTGTGGGAACTATGGATAGGGACAGGGATATGCAGACTACAGTGGCTAACAGAGCACTTACAGCAAGGCGTCTCTAGGGGGCGGCAATCACCAAAACAAATATCAGCCATACTAAAGGAGGACACTGGCCAAAACAGGAGACTGCTAAAGTAACCTATCTGGCAGGACGACATTGAAGATTGGTCTTCTGTTGCTCTAAGATGATTATTTTGTAATCATCTAGTGTTCAAAACACAACTGTGTCCAACTGTATATAGCCACTAATTAGTTTTCATTGTTTTTACTTTGTCTTTTGTTATCTGTGTTATGATTCAACGTGGATTTGTTTATACAAATTTTATTTGTATGATTTCATGTTAAACCTCAAATAAATGCTTCCTTATGTGATTGCTTAAAAAATAATAATAATAAATTTAAAAAGAGTCAAAATTACTCCAAGAATTTTGAATTTAGCAACTACAAAAGTGGAGTTGCCATCTACAGACATGGGGATGGTGGGAATAGCAAGTTACAAGGTGAGATCTCTTTTAGATCAGATCTCCAGTTCCTTTTTTTTTTTAATGTTTTTATTGATGTCAAAGAGAAGGGAGAGGGAGAGAGAGACAGAAACATAAACGATCAGAAAGCGTCAATGATCAGCTACCTCCTGCACACCCCCTACTGGGGATCCAGCCAGCAGCCCCAGCATGTACCATGAAAGGGATCGGAACCCAGCACATCTCCAATTCTTGACACATCTGGAGCTCAGGAGATAGGACTACCTAGCGATGTTAATTAGCAAGTCATCAGCCTACAGATGGTTTTTAAAGCCTTGGGACGGAATGAGACTACCCAGGGAATGGGCAGAGAACCAGGGCAGCAAGATGAGGAGAAGCCAGTGAGGTAGCAGAGGATGGTGCCTTAGAATCTAGGCCAAAAACAGATCCAGGATTTCAAATAAACCTTTAAGATCCAGCACATAACATGTTTTACGCTGTGAAGAAGGCAGGGGTAAAACCCAAATACAATTCTGAGGCCTGAATTGAAAATGAGCCTGTTTCATGAAGCCTGGGATTCTAGAGATAAAATCAGAAAATGAAAAGTTTTGTAAAAGGCAGGTGAAGGGAGCACATTTTATTAACACTGTATTGTGTTAACATTTTGAATTAACAGTAGAAGGAAGAGGAATATTGAGGGCATAGTGCTCCCGTCTGAGAAAAGAGAAGGCTCATCCAGGGAAAAGTGATGTTGAGTATCTACTGGGGGCCAAGCAATTAGGTACACTAATGACCAAGCGAAATACCTGGCACATATTAAGGACAAGACAATGTTAGCTTCTCCTCATATCTGAGCTCCACAAAGTAGTTATCACAGTCTTATTTTATAGATACGGAAACAGGTTAAGAGAGAATAAGTGACTGTGAGCAGTTAAGGACTTTACTTTTTTTTTTTTTTTTTAATATATCTTTATTGACTTCAGAGAGAGGAAGGGAGAGGGAGAGAGAGAAAGAAACATCAATGATGAGAGAGTCATTGATAGACTGCCCCCTGCATGCCCCCGACTGGGGATCAAGCCCGCAACCCAGGCATGTGCCCTGACCGGAATGGAACCCCGATCGCGCAGATCCTAGGTAAACAACCGCTGAGCCACACCCAGCCGGGCAGGACTTTACTTTCTTAAATTGCAAGGAGGACAACGTCAAGGCCTTGAAGATCAGAAATCTGTTTTAAACTTCATATATAGTGATAACAGTACAAAGTTTCAACAATGCTAGTTAATGCACATTATTGAATTAAATCTTCCTGTCACCTCCCTGAGTCAGGTCTTATGCTTTGATAATTAAGAAAACGGGAGAAAGATGGCGGCGTAGGTAACAGCCGCATCCGCCGCCTCCCACAACCACATCAAAATTACAACTAAAATACAGAACCACCATCACTCAGAGCCTCCTGAAATCTGGCTGAACAGAAGCCCTACAGCCAGGGAGCTGAAGCAGCAAGAAGACTGGTAGGAGGGGCGGAGACGTGGATCAGGGCTAAATCCTGGAAAAACGGCCTCGGCCCGCACGCAGTGCCGCGGTTTAAACCCGGGAGGGACATCTCGGGGCAGAGGTTTCCCAGAGGAGTGAGGGGGTCCCAGCCTAGGGCTCCAGGGCTGGGAAGAGATGTCCCCACAACTCTGGGCTGTGAAACCAGTGGGGACTGTCTTTGAGGGTCCCGGAGGCTGCGGGAGCCCCAGCAGCTCCTCTTAAACGGCCTGAGCCCCAGCACCGGGCAGTAGCCTGAAAGGACCTGGGACACTCGGGAGGGACTAACCTGCCTGAAATTGGGACAACAGGTGGAGGGGCAGCTTCCTCCCACGCAGAAGGGCTGGCGGAGGCCGTGGCTCCTTTGCGGAGTCCTCCCCGCACACAGCCGGCAGGCAGGCGCCATGTTTGAATCGCCAGCACCTGACTCACACCGTTGGCCCCGCC